TGACGGACGAAAATGGCTCGTCGTCGCCCGAAAATCAACTTTTCCAATTTAGCTCTCGACCTTCTCTCTCCTCGGCTGATTTTAGATATTTATTTTGATTTTCTCTCTCTTCAAAATGACCTCATTTCAGCTTTAAAATACTCAGATCATCCTGGCCGATCGCACGATCGTCCTGGACGATCAGACCAATTTCACATCGTCTTGGGATGATTTCGCAGGACGATTCAGGACGATAATTAATTTTCAAAAACCCCTTGCTCTCTGACTTGTGCCATCCACTGATCGTCCCGGGACGATGCCTCGATCGTCCTGGACGATCAGACCAAAAACCCATCGTCCTGGCTGATTCCCTGGACGATCCTCAGGACGATAATTAATTCTGAAAAAAGTTCTGCTCTCTGTCTTTTACACTGAACTGATCAGCCTGGGACGATGCCCCTATCGGCCTGGCCGATCCTGGGAGAAAAATCACCTGGAGCAATCTGGAGCAAATTTCAACTGATCGTCCCAGGACGATCCCAGATCGTCCCAGGACGATCCCAGATCGTCCCAGGACGATCCTGGAGCAGAAACAGAACTTCACACAGCATATCTGCTAACAAAAGAGAAATACTGAAAGAGTATGTTGTAAATCTTGAATAAGTAATAATTGCAAAAAATTGCCATGTCGTTGATGCTCTATCTTCACTATTTGATAAGCCTCATATTACTTCAAAACAAACTCTGCTACATCCTATTCAATTCAAGCCACCATAATATACTTTTTAAATCATCATGCATCTTATTGCTTTTTTGGATGAATAGTGTAGCTTACATACAGAGACAAAAAAAAAAAAAAATTAAAATAGCTCAAAAGCTCTCTCTCAATCTCTAAGGTATTCATACGCCATGTCAAACCCCGCCAGGAGGCGCTGACTCCTTGGACCCCCAACATATCTACCAACAATTACTTATAAATCCCCCCCCCCTAGTGAAAATTATAGCCGGTTTCGCCCTTGCTTGAATATTATGCCTCATATAGTCCTGGTAGAAAATGATACCAAAATTAGATAGCAAAAGTCAGGTCTCTTACCAAACCTAATCTAACCAATCAGCTTTAGTTGCTATGTATTTAACTTCTAAACTTCCTAAACTCTTTCCTGAAAAGTAGGTTTAATAATCATCAATGTTAACCAATTTGAATATATATTAATGGATATAACCTCTGTCTCTAGTTTCACCAAATCTTAAATAAAAAAGTTTACATAAGCACTGAAAAAGAACTAACTGAAAATTCATACTCAAAGCATATGCCACTACATTCGTCTTACTAGGCTAATACTAAATAGATAAATCATAATCATTGATCATCAACTCAAATCATCTCTTTTATCTCAAATTTAGATCATTCTGAGTAAAAATATACGTCAAACTCTAATGATCAATGAATATATCGTATCTAACTCCGTATAAGTAATACCTCCAAATCTTTAAAACAAATAAAATAGTAGTTAACTCTAGATCATGTGTCGGATAGTTCTTCTCTTCTGATTTCAATTATAAAGATGCATACGTAATAATTCTTTCATGCTCCATCAATACGCATATCAATCCTTTCAATAAAACATCGTTAAAAGTTTGAAACACATTTGAACGTGAATAAGTAGTCTGAATGAGAGCAGAAGTCAAACAATCCTTCAACATTCAAAAACTCTCTTCACACTTTGGAGTATATATAAAAGATATTGGCTTTTGAGTAAGTCTAGTTAATGGCGAAGAAATATGAAAAATCCCTAAATAAAATTTTGATAGTAACTAGCCAAGCTTGAGAAACTATGCACCCCACAAACTGTAGTAGGCTTTGGCTAATCATAAACAGCCTAAACCTTCTTGGGATCCACATAAATACATGTACTTCTCATGATGTGTCCTAGAAAAGAAATGTTATTCAACCAAGACTCATACTTCGAGAAATTAGTATATAGCTGATGATGCCTAATAATCTCCAAAGCTATCGTCAAGTGTGCTGTATTCTCAACATTCGATCTAGAATAAATCAAAATATTATCTATAAAGACTATCACAAACTAATCCATATACTTCATGAAAACCCTATTCATCAAATTCATAAAGACTGCTTGGGAATTAACACTCCAAATGGCATGACTAAAAGCTCATAATATCCATAACTTTTACTAAATGAAATCTTCACTACATCCTCCTCCATCATCTTTAGATGATGATAAACATA